TATACACAGATTTAATTAAATTAAGATATAAGGTGGCTCCTATAATTATTAAGAATTAATAGCTGTAACTAGCCGCAGATATGCAAATTTATTAATAAAATAAAAAACTTTTATAGCTAATATAAGCTAATTTTATTAATAATCTAGCTATTATTAAATATCTTAAATTAGTAATTATTTAATAAGTTATTAAACCAGCCTTCAATAATAACTTTAAAAATAATATATAATAATAGTAAATAGCTATCTATATAAATCACTTGAATAATAATAATCTATTCATAGTTTTTTTAATATAGAATAAAATACTATAATATTTTGCTTAACTACCTTTTATATTGATATAAGGCCCATCACAAATCCACTCTTATTTTGCAAAGTTGTAAAAATATCCTTAGGTTAAATATTATCCTCATTAATTATATATTATATAATTAGAGCCATTATTGAATTAATCTTAGGTCCTTATTTGGAGTATACTGGTATCATAGCATCTTAAGAAGTGTGAGTAAATCTTTTTATGTTTAAGCTATCAAGCTTGATGGCCAATTCTTGCTAATAATAGGCAAAGGATGGCTACTATATATAATTAGTATGATATTAGCTATTTTTTACATAGTAACTAGCCTAAGGGCTATTTTATATAAATCTACAAATATACTTATTCAATAATCAAATTCTCTTCTAATAGTGTCAGTTTATAGCTATATGGGCATAAATTGATATATGCCTTGACCCTATTTGCATAATCTTACCAAGATTATATAAGGTATGGTATGGTGGTGTATAGCTTCATTGCTGCATGAATAGATTTGACAGTCATTTTTTGATATCATCAAGGGCTAATAAGATCTCGCCCTCTTGATTGGCTGATTTCTGCTGAGATTCAGTGTGAATTGGTGGCATGGTAGATGGTTGATCAAAGTTAGTAGGTGGGTGGGAAGACGCGATTTTGATGGGGTGTACGGCTCAACTGGGAATTACGTTACTCTAATTAAATAGTCTCACTAAATATCAGATTTAATGGACTAATCTATAAATGTATAACTTCTATTTATAAGAATATGTAATAGGCAAGTTTAATTATCTATATTAACTACTTTAAGTAATAATATATCCACGATTTAAATTTATTCTAATGTAAGGCTTCTTAGTATTAAAGTCCCCTAATAATAATCTATTGTAAAGGGGGGCGTACGTGCGTTGTTCCCTGCGACAGGAACCGGGTTGTGATCGAGGGATCTCAGGAATGGATATACCAAGGCGATGCCGCTATACCACACGGCACCGAACGATCTTAGCAAGAAAACGATATAACGATAAAAGGAAACACGACGAAGGAGCCTCGCTCCGCTCTATACAATGACGACGATACTAGTGAAGCAACCTAGAAACCAAAAGAATGCTCCCCTTCTCGTAACTATCTGGGAGGGAACCCTCCATTAAGTACTCCGGCCGCGGGCTCCACCATACATTAGTATGTCGGAGTCCGCGGTTCTACGGTGTTCCAAGATAGGAAATATGGGAGATCTGGGGTTTCGCAGTGCCCCCGGCACGCTATTAGTTATAATTAACACTAATATGAAACCAATATTATTAAAATTATGAAGATCCTCCTTCAATATTCTATAATTCTAAATAATTTAATAAAGCTTCTAAAATCACTTCTGAACAACCTTATAATTTTTTATATATTTATAGTCAAGCTCTATAGTTCTAAATTGATATTTCTTGTATTTAAGATGCTTTCCTAACTATTGATTTAATTATTTCTTATTAATAGTAGGTGAAGGGGTGTCTATATTAACATAAGTGATTTCAGAATAGAATTAGCATTTGATTATTTATATAAGTAGCTTTATATTTAATTATTTTAAAGTATCAATATAATAATATTGTCAGGGCCCTTGCCATGTAGACCAGGACGAGCACGTGAGCTTCCTTACTTGGATTAGCGTGGCGCGTGGATAGGAGTACGTCGTCCAGCTTCACGTAGATCTCTTCCTTTTTTCCTTCCTCTTCATGCTTGAAGTTCTCGTCGATAGCTGCCTAGATAGCTGAATAGCATCCTATTCATCGTCTAGTTGAGTTCCGTGACAAATATAGTCTTTTCTTGCTCTTTTAGTAATCTAGTATTAATTAGTTAGTGATTATTTAAATAAACTACTCTCTTTTCCACTTTACAAAGAAGATTTATTATTTATTTAACTTTATATTCATACACAATTTTAGCAATATTTGAAGAGTTTTGTGTCTTTAATATATTAATAGTTTGAGCATTTGACCACAATTTTCATTAAATTTAGGCATGGTAGTTGTGGTTAAATTATATAATATGTTGATGGCTTGGAATTCTATGAATTTCTAAAATCAGCGCTCAGGTAGTTTAAAAAATGCCTCCAAAACTCATTGTTAGATTAAATATTAATACCACTATCTACAGTCTATAATACCAAACAATCTAGATCAAAGAAAATATGCGGTAGATACTTATTATTGGCTTAAACAAGAGAAATAGTGAATATAATAAGATATCCCTTTCCATAATCAGTCGGATAATAGATAAGATGATTAAGGATGCAGAGATTACTATACAAAATATAATAATAATATTTGACAGCATTATAATAGCTTAAAAAAAAATTGATTGAAAACTTATTCAAGATAAGGAAAGTCCTACTTATAGGCTGGTAAAAAATTTAGTATGTAGATGAGTAATTATTTCAGTAGAAACTTTCTTAGAGATGGTGAAAGACTCCTAAATGTAATAATTGTGGTCATCAGGCTGGCTATAATTGTTCAAAATGTCCCAGTAAATAGCATCAATTTTATTACAGAAAAATCTATTGAATTCATTGATAATTCCACTGTTCCATGAGCCTATAGCTATTTCCATGGGTGCCCAGCCCAAAAAGGGTGACTTTGGTGTCCGATTACGTTGGCTAAAATCTTATCAAAACCAACAAAAAGATAACATACATACAGTGGGGGTTCAAAAGTATTTCGAATTGAAAGACGCGCTAAAAACGCCAAAAATGACCACCTTCCTATTTAATATAAACTGCCAGGCAAGATACTAAAATATGTTCCCAGTTTCAAAATAGTGATAATTCATTCCTATACCTTTCAATGGCCAAAAATATGGAATTAACTCCTACTATGTGAGCTCACATTTGCAAGCTTCATTCTATTAGATGGAACTATTACCAGATTCATTTAAAATATCTATAGATCTCTTATATAACTATATGATACACAATTCTTAAGCAATATACCTATAATAATTATATTTCTAAACCATGCAGTGGAAGACCTCCAGTTCTATTTCCAGGATAAAAAGAACATCTCTATATATTTACTATTAAAGATCTATATATAGTAATACATGTATTATAGGCTGCAGTAGATTCCTCACTTTTAAATTTTATTATATAATATCTCTTTCATGATCTTTATATAAAGAAATAGAAACAGAGAAATTGACTAAGAATTACAAAAGAAAATATCATAAAATACCTTATCTAGGTTTAACAGTATGCTTATTTTATTTCAGATAATTAGAAATATATTAAATAGACTAATAAATACTCAGTAAAATAAGGTGAAGGCATATAAAGTTATTATATATTTAACAGCCCATGTCATTAATTGATTAAATATAATATTTATATTATATATTGTGGAAAAGGTGTGAAGTAGATATTTTAGGCTGGCTTTGGATTTAATTAATATACAGGTCTTATTCCTTTAGAAAGGGACCTTGAGGCAGCTTGTGAAGGTCTAACTGCATATGTTATATCTTATGTATATAAGATATGGCTTCCAGAACTAGTTAGGATAAGTAATATTTTTATATATAATCATGCTTCTATACATACTGCACATATTATCAGACACTTACTTGATAAGATAGATATAGAAGTTATAATTTAGCCTTCTTACTCACCTAATCCTAATCTTATTGAGAATCTATGGGCACTTATAAAAGGGATTATTTATGAGTGCTATCCTGAGCTTGAGTGTGCACCTAATAATCAGGAGACACTAGATTATTTGATAGAGGCGGTAAAGGAGACCTAGCATGCTATAGGTGAGAGGGTTCTGCAGAATCTATCAGATACTATGCCTCATCGCGTGCAGGCCATTCTATCTGCGGGTGGTTGGTATACCAAATACTAGGTGGGCGAGGTCTAGATAGCGCGATTTAGTACTGGATAGGAAGGCAGTCATTTTTGGCATCTTTAGCGCGTTTTTCAATTTGAAAATACTTTTGAACTCCCACTGTATCATTAATTTAGCCCAACATCTCTTAACTAATCCAGACTTTTTTTAGTATAACCTCTTTGACTACTTCCAGTGCTTAAGGTAGTAGTATCCTTTGTGTCACAGTGCGACATTCTCTCGGAGAGCATTCAGAAGCTTAACCACTGCATTAAACAGAAGACTAGAATGTAGAGCTCCCGGCTCTACACTACTCTCTAATATATATATCAGGCAGGACAGGATAGGCACCGTAACAATCTGGAACCACTCAGTGTCTGATCACACTATTCCATGATAGATGAGGCAAAGACATATCATGGTGTATCTCATATTGGTCCTTGGTAGTGCACAGATAGCATATTCAGCCTGCATATGGCATACCTAGCGCGATTCAACTATGGATATCCACAATCAGCTTGAATTTTTTTCCAGCCATATTTATTGATAAAGTAATATTTATGAAGTAATCTAAGTTTTTGATTATAGCGGACACAGGATATCATGGAGAATGCAGTATAGAACACTGGTAGGCGGAACGAACTGGCAGCAAGCAGCTATTCCCTCAGTTCCTTGCTGTAGGTCGAGCGGGCGTTCTTTTTTCCCATCCATCCCTGGGTCCACATACTACAGCACACTTCACTCTGTATTTTCCTGGCAGGGAAAGAAACAAAGGCGAAGACGTGACGTGACATAAGTTACATAATTCGGCCAATCTCGGTTTTATTTTGACATTAATCATGGATAATGGCGCGTCATCTGAGGGCAAAGACCCATCTGCCTTTCTGAGTGAAATCATTGGAGCACCGGTTACTGTCAGACTAAATTCAGGTGTCGTCTACAAAGGTTTGGGGTTCTTCCTATTCCGAATACATAGTTACTGATGTTTGCTGAAGGAGAGCTCCAGTCAGTAGATGGCTACATGAACATCGCGTTGGAAAAGACCAATGAATATGTGAATGGGAGATTGAGGAGGAACTATGGAGATGCGTTTGTCCGAGGAAACAACGGTTCGTTGAGACCTTCTGCTGCATCAGTTTTATTTTCTAACAGTCATCTTCCTCTTTCAAAAATCCAACAGTGCTCTACATATCCGCAGATTGACTTTATGATCACCAGCCCGACATTGTGCAATATTCCCCTGGATATGCATGCTGTCATACTAGTCTGACAATGCACGAGATATTAGACCACACTTGCTTTTGAGGCACTATGAGAAAACAAATATCTGGCACCATTCTCTGTATGGTCCACTAAAACTTACGACATTGCGCTATGCATGGTTAATGGATGGGTATCTACAAACGAGATGGTGGCCTCTCACGGCTGCAAGCTGGAAAATGGAATGCACTATGGGATTCACAGAACTCATTGATCATTTCCGTGCACCTGATGAAGTAAAAATTGCCTCACTCCCAGCCCAGGTAAAAAAGAGTAGGTAATGAATCACATATAGTTTGGCTTAAGGCCTTGGAACCCATAGGCCACGATGTCAGACTTGACGACTTCGCCCGGTGCCACATATGCTCCACGTCGCAAACGAACTCCGGGGTAAATGGTGCAACCTGCACCAACGAAGCAGTCTTCTTCGATGGTAACAGGGCGGCCCTGATATCGACTTTGGGACCCTTTTCGTTCTTGCATATTTGCATGCGCCATAGAACTAAGTATTGTGACATTTGGACCTATCCAGGTATGAGCCCCGACGCTGACACCACAGTCGTCAACGAAAAGGCAATTTGCTGAAATCATAACATCTTCACCAATGTGAATATTGTACCCGTAATGGCAACTGAAAGGAGCCTCAACGACAACACCTTGTCCAATGGACCCTGCCCGGGGCGACCCTACAGCAGATGGAGAACCGGCCACTGGATTGGATGGAACAAAAACCTCCTTTAGTAAACGATTTTGTTCCTTTGCGCTCAGGCCGGAAATTGGATTACAAGCGTTGTTGAAACGCCATAGAGCAGCTTTACATCGCTCTCTTTCCTCCACTAGTTGCGCATCGAAAGGCCGATATAGCTCCCCATGTATCATTTTTTCCTTTTCCGTCTCTTCATTAGAGACTGCATGGTTGGACAATTGATGTTCAATGCTAAGAGCCATCCTAGCTTGGGCTCGTGGACTACCAGTGTCCATGCTAGTAGAATGAATCGGCCGTTGATCAACTCCGCCCTGGAAGAGCGCCATTCCTGGTTTCGGGTGCCCTCCATGCGAGAGCTCTCGAATTGGCGGAACAACTTGATAATCGGATTTTGGGGGACCCTCTCGGGACAGTTCGTGTATTGGTGGAACTTCTCGGTGTTCTGATTTGGCAATATGTTCTGACACATAACTAGAATGGCCTCCGCCTGACCAGCTCCTTTTTGGCCACGATCCCCGACTGGAGTTAACACCGGTTGGGCTCGTGTTGTACTGCACCGCAGTGCGGTCACTATCTTCAACAATAATCGGTCTCATCTTGCCAGGTTCGGATTGCTCTGCGGTATTCGGCTGTCGATCATGCTGCTGGGCTATCCCATGTACATACTGATTGCTCACATCCGGAAAGCCGTCTTTTGATTGCAAAGGAATTTTTGCACTTGATGGTTTCTGCCATGTACTTCGTGATGAGTAGCCCTCACAGATGAAACCTCCCCGAATGCAATTATTACCTGCAACTAAGAGTTAGGAGAACTGTGGTAGATAGGGAGTTCATTGAATAACAACAAACTCACATGCTGGGTGCTGCTCATCACACTTTTTCTTTCGCCTTCGACAAGTCATGCAGCCTGTCTTGGTTCTATTGCTAAATACACGTTTCCGTTTTGGGGCAACCTGCGCTGTAGTCTGTGGTGGCTCTTGAGCATATGCGGATAATGATGGGAGTTGATCCCCCATCGTTGATCCATCTGCCCTACGATTAACAGTTCCCCAGTTCTTTTGAATGGTATCGTGAGAGTGGACATCACGCTGAAGTGCCTCCACGAGTTGCGCATCAGAAGCGTCGATCTGCTGTGCGCATTGTGCTTGGTTAACCAGCTGCGCATCATACTCGTGCCACGGACCACTTGTCGATGGGGTCCGAGAATCCCCATTCTCGTCTGCATGTGAGTGGCATGGCGCAGGTGGGTTCTTCGGGTGCTCGTCCTCGTGGGGTACTACGGGCGTGGTGGATTGCGCTTGCAAATCTAGACTTTCGTCTGGGTGAGAGACGGGACTCCGGAGTACAGTGGCATTTTGGTAGGATCGCTGAGATCGCTGCGGTTCATACGACTGCGACCTTTTTCGTTTGCTCTTATTAGTGTTAAGAGTGCTATGCAGAGATGGCTTCGATGAAGGTAGTCTATCGTCGCGATCAATCTCGGACCCTGTATCACCTTCGCCCTGGCCAACTGGGATGGTGCTTTCTCGCCTCTCACAATTTTGTGTATCAACCTGACGATCACCGTTGGGTGTATTGTCTGGCCTAGCAATAGGGGCACTCCCTCCAGATGTTGAAGTATCCTTCTCGTTCACTGCTGTAAAGCGAGAAGGGCTATGGCCTAGATTGCGCTCTTTCTCCGGCCCGTTATTGCTGTCCACTGCCGACCCAGACGCCACAGCGGCCATCGTGGACAAGCTGGACAAAGTGAATGTCAGCTGTATAAGTGCATATAACCAAGGGCCTCTCACAGTATGTGTTGTGATATAGACCGACACGTGCCCTATTTTCTGTTCCGGAAGCTTGCTGGCCTCCGGTTCCTCAACGATGAGGAGTGTTCTTGATTGGGGTGATTGCCGACAGTGCCAGTAAATGGACCGTAGTGGGAGGGTGAAACGGCCAATGCAATACGAGGGACGCCGGTAGTGGTGGACTGCCAGTAGAACGTAGGATTTAGTAGCATCAATGCAGCTTGGAGCTAGTTTCAGTCTGCGTTCTACAATAATAATGTAACTAGACGTCAATGGGTGTGCTTTACTTGGGCCAACAACCATCTGTCACATAAGCTGTGTAGAGTTGAGACTGGAAGTTGGAGTGTAGCACGCCAGTGCAGCAAGTGGTGTATTTGTGTAATAGCAGGATGGGTAGACACTGTACTGTAGTGTGGTTCAAGCTGCTAACTAGGTAGGACACTTTCTTATGTTTCATGTAGTGTCATGTGAGGACTCCATGCTGTCTGTTTATGTTGTAATTTCTATTAATAGTAGTTATCCCCCATCAGGGAGAAGTTGTCTACAAAATACTGATTCTCAGATGGAAACTGTGATCCTCATGCTGACTTACATTTATTTGCTTTCCTAGTATGCTAGAACTGAGAGTACACCGTACCCTCTCTGGGAAGCAGTCATAACATCACTAAATCAAGGGAATTTGCAGCATCTCATAGAATGGTAGATGTAATGGTCATACCAGGAGTAGTGTATGTTATGAACCTTACAAAGGATATTCATGACAGCCTATGGATAAGAAACAACCATGTAAGATAGGCCATTAGGCCAATATGATGGGCCACATGACAAGTATACAGTCTCGACATTGGTATAAGCTGGATACTCCTGTAGTAGTATACTTCCATGATGATGATGATGATGACTTCCATTTTAGAGACCGTTTTTCGGTCCAAACATGGTCTACCCACCCAAGTAAGGTAGGGTTTTGAGTTAGCTAGCTAGGTACAGGATAGAATTTGAAATGTAGAAGAATCACATAATGTAGATCACAGAGACAAAAGTGGAGATAGGAAGTGAGGGAGGTTAAATGAATGATAAAATGGGTAGGTGATAGTGGAGATGTATAGGATGTACAGGATGGGCAGAATGAAATGAAAGGATGTGTGTGATATGGTGGAAAATATGTAGGTAGGTAAGAATGGAGATAGTGAAATGATATATATATAAGAGAGCAGTGTTGAGCCTCCGGCTCTGCATCTTAGTCTTTTGCTAGTGAAGCAGTTACGCTTCTGAAAGCTCCCAGAGGTTACACCATGACTATCCTATTATATATTTAACCAGATAGCTCAAAAGCTAGGCAGCGTAATAATTACTAGATAATCTAATTCAGACTTAACTATATTAGCTATTATTATTTATTTCTAGCCTAATTGTATGTGAAATTAGTCATTAATTGCTACGGACCTTACCAAGATGGTTACACGACAGCCTATGGATCCCCCAAAGGATAGATCTCTATACTATCTCTTTACTCAGAAGAAGGGCCAGGAAGCTTTTCTAGCATTTTTAAAACTTACAAAGATTGCTACTGGAGGTTGGATTTCAAGGAATTAAGAGGGAACTTCTATTTACTCCTCTCTTCCTCCAGAATCTCTCTTCTAAGGTTCCCTCTTTAGTTTCCTTCCCCGTATATTTTATATGAGAGAATAAGCATAGCAAAGAACTAAAAAAGGGGATATAAGAAGAAGTTAGGGCTAATAAAAGAGTTCTCAGTCTCTTTGTTTTTGATATGGAAAAGGTCACGTGGTATGACGGCTTGGCTCCCTCTCTGACCCCTGAGAATCCAAGCCCCTGATTACAGTGGGTGATCACCTGACGCCTGGTACTAGCTGCTGCCTGATTTCACCACCACCAGCAATATAAAAAATGAAGCAATTCAACCACATACAATTATTATTATCAAGCAATCTTTTGATGGTTAAGAATAGTTATTACTAAGACTCTATATATAATTTTTAATTGATCTAAAAGTGCTATGGGAGCTAGATCTCACAGCCTTAACAATTTATTGTTGAAGGAGCCTCTGAGACTTCTATAAGTGTTATTGGCCTAATTTTTATAGGTTTTTGCTGGCATAAAGCTTTAGAGGCCTTCTGTGGAGTTTTCTTTACCTGCTAAAAGTTATTTTAAAGCTGATGATCTGCCTCTTTTGCTAAGTGAGCATCCTCTTTTTATTATTTCTTTCACTTTGCCTCTAGCAGCTATAATTTTTATTAAAATATTTAAATTCTCTTCTACTCTTTAAGTATTGTTTCTCTTCTTTAGTAAGCTGTTAACTGATTTTTTCTTGCTCTTTTAAAGCTTTAATAAATTATATAGCTTCATTCTTCTGCTTCTGAAGATTATAGACCTGTTAGATCTTATTAAGAGAGTAAAATATTATACCACTATCCTTAGGAGCTATTAGCTAAAATTGTAAAGATTTCTTATATTAATACTTTTTCTTATTTTAGAGAGCTATTTTAAGGCTTTAACAATATAATTTAAGGATTATATTTTTTGTAGAAAAGTGATGCATTGTGGCACTTAACTTTTTAGTATTTTTATTATATATATCAGTGATAATATGATTTAGAAGCTTTTCAATCCTCTTCTAGTCCTCCACCTGTAGGACTAAGTGTGAGAAGTCACTTAAGGATAGCTAAGAGTCTTTATTCTTAATAAATCTTACTAGAATAATCTCTGGATTTAGTGATAATATCCCCACAGTTTTAAATAAAGAAAGGATATTTTTTAATAATAAGGCTTATTTTTAGACTAGCTAAAAGAGGCAAAAGAAGTCCTATTTAGTAATATAAGTAAGACTTATTAATTTATATAAAAGTCTTCAAGATTCTTACTGTAAGTAGTAGAGAGAGGGGTGTTAATCTTAATATTAAATAACTGCAATAAATAAGTTAAATAAAATAAATAAATTATTAAAAGAGTCTTATTATCATTGTAATATTTAATAAACTTTATTATAATATAAGTCTGTGGCTATTAAGGATTAGAAGCCTCTATTATCTTTATATCTTATCTTTAGTCTTATAGTCAAATATATCTGTCAATCACTTGTATTTAAGGTTATCATTAATCTAACTGCTAGGTGAGGAGGTAAAGAAGTAAATATAGAGCTTAAGATTAAAATCTTAAAGCTAGAAATCTTATATATTCTTATTAATAGCTTAATAAATAAAGCTTAATAAAAGGACAGTTTTATTAGCATAAATATAAATAATTAAAGTTATCCACTTATGATTGCTATCCTGTAGACATTGCTTAAGATTGCTAATTATATATTTCTACTTTAAAAAAATCCTGAGGCCTTTAACCAGTATCCTAATAAGAAAATCCTTCTTATCTATATTGTAGATATCCTTTATGTATAGCTTATATTCTTTCACCTTCCAGCTCAGCAGCTCAAAATATAAAGTATATTTATATGTAGAATCAGCTTGTTTTCATGCAGCATCAATTATAATTATGTAGATTAAAATAAGATTATCTTAATAGCACTTAATAAAGTGCCTAAGTCAATATATTCTAAGCTTCACACTAGTAATTTCCTTTGCAAAATTATGAAGTATTTTATAAAATATGAAGAAAAGAGGCCTTGCTCAGTAAGCTTATTGATATAGCTTATTAGTTGTTTTTCATGATAGGTGGTAAGAACTCACTGCTACTCATATTGGTGGTCCCTCATGCCCTGTACCCCACAGTGGCACCTTGATAATATTGACTGACTAACACTAAATTATTTCGCTATTTTAGTATAATTAATTGAATCACCTGGTTCTAGCAATTCAATTGCTTGTATCACGAGCTCAATTAAAGATATATTGGTTGAGATATAAGAGGTTGAAGTTGAGTCAAAAAACAGTCAGTGAGGGGAAATCGGGCGGCAGCTAGTACCGGGCGTCAGGTGATCACCCACTGTAGAGAGAGAGATAGAACTGAATGAAATCCATTCCTTAGTAGGCTACGTACGTGTAGTCGATACAGCTTCATTCTGCCTTTCTTCCCTGAGTTACATGCATATTCCACAACAGTTTTCTCTGGATACTATCTCTTATATAGGAAATACCAAAAACAAAAAAACTCTATTATGCAGTCTGGAGTTTAAATCTGTTTTATGCTATCCCACTATCACTATCACTCGCCCTATTTCATTATTCTATCTATCCTTGTTATGTCTTTCTCTTGTTCCATTTTTCATTTCCTATACCCTACTGCTCCTACTATTCACTATATTATTTCACTCATCTATATATCTCCCCTATTTCACTGTCTATGTGACCCCTATTATGTACATATATATTGCAAAGCCCATTCTTGTCATTAAACCAAATCCTCCCCCTATGAGGGGAGGTAGACCATGCATAGTCTCAGACTGAAAAATGGGCTCAAAAATGGAAGTCTACCACCACTACTACAGCCTATGGATAAGACAAGGATATGCAGGAAGTGAGATGTTAAGCTGACATGACAAGTCTTGTGACCCAGCAGGTCCATGGAGAGGACCTGAGCAGGCCAGCGAGGATGATAAAGGAGGTATATATATAAGGACTGTCATTCACTACCATATATCTAGCTTGATCTCTCTCTCTTTGTGATCAGGACTATCAAGTTACTGAAGTATAACCTGGAGATCTGTATCTATCAATACGTATATAATCTTAGAGTATATGTGACGTATTTCACCTACGAGTGGGCCAAACCCACGAGCGGGCCACCGCTTGCCAATTCCCGCCCACAGGCTAAATTCAAGGGCCTGAATCAACGAAACAATCACATTTCTACATAAAAATTAATTATTAAGTGGTTTAGGATATCTGACTCTAGTATATCTCTGAATATGACAATTAGAACACTGCAGTGGCACTTAAAACATATAATTTAATTATAGAAAGTGCTGGATCTATAAGAAGCATATCTTGACCCTTATCAACCTTATTATTTTATTGAAATAGCTTTAGATTTTCTTAAAAAAATAAGCCCTCTGCAATAGCTAGCTGTCTATTAAAAAGCTTATATTTTTGACCTTGCTATTTATTATTAATATGATATCTGTAAATTTCTTCCCACATAAGAATAAGTTTATTGAGTGTTAATTTATAATCTTTAATAATCTTGTCTAATTATGTTTCTAGTAAAGATAAAGAACCCTAAATATATTCCTTAAGTAATTTTCTTACTACAGATACTTGCTTCTCTAGCTATTTAATAATATAGAGTATTTTAAGTACTGAATCAGTTGACTGACTGTCTAATAATGTGGGGTCTTTAATTAGATATCCAATTTGTTAAGCACCTTATCTAGATTAAATAAAACTAGGCCAGTGCTTACAAAGCTATTTTGAATAATTTCTGCTTGAAAGGTGCTTTTGTGAGTTTGTAGAAAGGTT